ATACTGAATGACATAAATACATATATATAATATATTCTCGTTTATAAATGGATACTTAAGTATTATGAAGAAATAAAAACAATCACATTATTCCGGAATAAGATCCATTCAGCATTTTGTATTTTAAATGCACAAATTGTATTTTCTCAAATCCACAATTTTCAGTGACGGCAGTTTTTGGTCGCATGTGAAAAATATCACAAATTCAGTGTTGAACCCTACTTGGCGGGGTATTTTTTTTATCTCTGTTTGTTTTGGAGTTCTTAGTTTTTTTTTGGCGGCACATTCTAATAACAAGTAAGTGCATCCTCCAATACCGAACACCTCGTATTGGTAAAGATGCTGTTAATATAAGTGCAGAAGCGCTGCTGCCAAGTGCAGTCCAAACACATAGTTACAATTCTCAACGTAAACTACAACTTGTCCCCTTATTTAACGAATTAACGACTTCATTTCGTAAGACGATGTAAGAACTACGGCAGGCGACAAGCTTTACATACTGCCACTGATAATATTGCCTAATGTAACGAAAGCTAATGTACGAATATATACTTAAACACACGAGTCAAACTGTTGCACCCTATGAAAATTACATAAGGTACAATTTTCAAGATTTTCATCCAATTATAGCTTCTTAACAGTGATCGGAATAAGTCGAGTTTATTTACCTAAACTTCGAGGAACAAAGACAGAAAGTAGAGACTGCTTTGCGACAAAGTTTTTTTGTCCCGGGTTTTTTCGGGATTCGGGATATCACTTAAGTAGATTAAAAATTGACTGTATTTATCTAAATTTTGCGACGAGTTGCTGCAACCACCAGTTTTTCGGAATATTTAGGAAACTTCCGACAAAAAATTCAACATTTTGATAAATATGGTCTACCTACCTATCGCAAATAACGTAAATTATTAATGCACCTAAGTGAATTCCCGAATCCGAAAAAATACGGGACCAAAAAGGTAGCCGTAAGACAGTCTCCACTTTCTGTCTCTTATCTTTCGAAGTTTAGGTAAACAAATTGTACCTCTTCCGATCACTGCTTATTAATAATGAAAATCAATCGTATGGCACTCGAATGCGTGTGGATAAATGGCAAATTCCTTTTTAATAATATTTGGTCCGTAACTAAAAGTGACAATTCCTCACAAAAAAACTATGATAGGATTATTGATCAATCTACATATATATAAATGAAGTAAATATGTATTATTCTTAATAGTAATTAATTACACGTTAAATTCAATACTTACACAATTGGCAACTACATTGGAAGAGTATGGTGTACTTGTAACACAAATCACCTATAGAATGAAAGCAACCTAATTTAAAAAAACAACAATAAGAGTGTATATCGTATAACGACTTTATGGAAAAAATATGGATAATATACTAACAATGCAACCTTTTTAGTGTTTTTTTTTTGGCAGCATGGGGAAATACGAAACCATAGGAGATACAGAGAACCTGTCTTAGGAAATAATAAGTCTTATTTTTAACAATCTTGGCACAGTAAATTTTTTGGTAAAGCATGTGTAATCCATAAGGATTAATAAACTTGATTAATTTTTTCAGTGCTGGTCGACTCAATTTTATGGAAGGATCATTTTATTGTATGGAAGAAAAAATCGGGACAGCAGAAGTTGACAAAATAGAATAAAATATTTTTTTCATTGTAATGGAAGAAAAAAGTCGGGACACAGTATGTCTGAGTCTCACGGTGGTTTTCTATTTAAATGGAAAACCACAGACTGTTGTAACACAGCAGAAGTTGGTCAAATTGAATAAAATGTTACTTATTTTTATTAAATTTTACCAACTTCCCGATTTATTCTTCCAATACAATACTATAATTCTTACAGGAAACTAAGTCTATTTAGCACTCAAAAATTAATCAATTGTATTCATTTCGTAAAATGATTTTTTTTTATTAAATTTGATCAACTTCTGCTGTCCCGATTTTTGCTTCCAATCAATGAAATGATCCCTACATGAAACCGGGACGATCAGCACTAAAAAAATCTGTTATATACTTTTAGGAACAACCCGCGCTTGACCAAAAAATTTACTATGCAAAAATTGTTTCCACAAAAAAGATTTAATTCCTAAGACAATTTCCTTATTCCTCCTTTAGTTTCGCGTTTCAACATTCTGAGCCAATAAAAAAACACTAAATAAAATGCATGCGAATTATAATCTTATGATATAACTGGATATATAATCACAAAGGTCAACGATAACAGGGGAATTAACATATTTTCCATGATTAACAAACTTCATTTAAACTTCAAATCATATTTTGCGTATCTACAAAAAGTTGAGATTTTGAATTGGGTCACTTTTATTCTAAAGAGATGCGACAAGGTCAGTTCAAAACACGCTAATAAGTACTACTACATCTTAAGTACAGTATTCGTCTTCAATTAAGTATTTAAGTTCAATATTTTATAAATTAATAAATATTTAATATTATTTTTAGGTATTGCAATAAGTTAAACAAGTTCAAAATTAAGAAAACTGCGCCATGTGAAAAATTATTTATGTACAAAAGGCGCAAGTATTAGTACGTTATTATGATTATGTACTATGCAAGATGGTGTTGTGTTAATCAATGCCTTTTTACACAGGTTTGCTTGTAACATATTAACAACCTTGCAGGACTATATTACAAACATTATAAACGAAAACGTTTGTTCCATGTTGTTCTTACACATCGAATATATAACCAGAAATAGAGTCGAAATGTCATTTAATTTGTTTGAAAACAATTCTGCCATATCATAACGGTTACAACTGCGCTCCGATTGGCCTTGACTTTTCCGCTTGGAATTGACGGGAGTCGACAATAGGTGTCGTCTATTGCTTCACTTCAAATCGACCAGTCAACTTGAGCTTTGCTATAGTGGACGAAAATTGCAAAATGACACATTTGATATTTAATTACCGACGAAATTTGATTTCGTTTGTTCTGTAATTTCATGTTTTGCTGTTTTTCCCCACACCAGCGAACGGAACAGCACGCCATTGTTAGAAATATTATCTTTATTATAATAAATACAGAATATTTTTGTAATATGTTTTTACGTAACATAATAAATTTACCATAAATATATATATTTTTTAAATTTAGAAATTTAAACTTGCAAGCGTCTACCCTGACGATTCCCACTTTCTCTTGTAAATGCACAGAGGTGTCACCGTTTTGAATGAACTATTGAAATATTTTTATTATTGAACGAAAACAAAATCTGATGAATTATCAAAAGTAATGGAACGAAAGTCGTTTTGTTATGATGTTAGTAATATAGTCCTGCGATTCTGTTTGGTATTTTACAAACAACCCTGAATAAACCCTTTCACAGAATAAGTGCGGTAACCGCGATTATACTCCGTCCAATCATTTAATTAACTTTTGACATATGCATGCCTCCAAAGTTCCGTAATTATTGATACCAAACACAAAAAATGCAATACTTCCTGGACACTTCAATTTTTAAATTTTAGTGAAGATGTGCTCTTTGGCTCGGATATTTATCGAGCCAACAGATTATGTAACGAATATTATTCAAGTTGATAAATTTTCGTAATTGTCTAATAAATTATAAGGAAATGAAATCAATTTTAAATAATTATAATATTTTTTGTTGTTTATTATAATGAATCGTCGGATTCTTCTCCACATGAACGAGAATCATCACTTGAAAGCTCATGAACATTAAGTTTTAATTCATGAGTAGACAAATTGTCAAACGCAACATTACATCTTTATCGGACAATATGTTCTTTTTCGAACCCGCTCAAATTCACTATTACAAGTTCTTCATAAATAAAATCGATTGTTATAATAAATCGAATGGGAAAAGCATTAGGACATCACTAATTGACTAGAATTCGAACTGTCAAAAGTTAAATAAATGGTTGGACGGAGTATAATGCATGTAACACTTGATTATAAGAAATTTAATTAAAATTAATTTAATTAATTAATTTTTATCATCGTGCACTAATTGCTTTGCGAAAATTGTGTTCCCAAAGTGGTATTCGTTGTAATGACAATACTAGTTTTATTTTAAGTACTCTCATAGTATAGGAAACTTATTTAAATAGCGAAATGGTTACCCATTTTGCCACCAAATACTAAACATTTGGTTCGAAATGACATTCGTACTGTATTATCTATGCAACCACCGCAGCAGCTTGTAAGATTATCAAACTTTACATTACATTATTATGACATTTATTGTATTGCCCGCTCCGGTAGCGTACAGATGAATGAAGAACAACATTCTTCAAAATAAATTAACGAAAAAAGCTACACATGTCGTAAATATTGTTGTCCATCTTTGATGTCCATAACGCTGTCAATGTCGACCCTTAAGGGAGTTACAACACTTGTCGACAAAGACTCGCATTAAGCCGGTCACAAAAAACTGTTTGATTTTTTTATTTCTATTAATTTTTCTCTCATTATTAGGTCTTGTTCATTCAAGGAATTTTTCGGTGTTCGATCTTTGTACTAATAATTTTAAGAAACTAGTGGGGTGATTTCACAAAAAATTAACCAATAGCATGGTGGTTAAACATCTTGATGTTCAATCAAATTAATATTTTTATCTCACTGACATACTTTTGTAATATTTGCTCGTGTTATTTATTTATTATGAACTGATGACGATCCCTGGAAAACAATATTTATAATTTTATTCAATGACAAAAATTTTATTTTTGTTGTGTAATTTTTCATTTTGTAACTTAAATTTTTTGGTTTAACGATCTCAATATAATGACTTATACTTCGACATGACGTGCAATTTATACTTGAGATATAAATAATCTAATCCGTCTAATGAAAGCTAAAAAACGCCCCGGCACAACGCATCGGCGGTCCGAGCGACAAAAAAACGCGCAATCTCTTTTTAGCTATTATCGTGCCGACGTAAAGCTTTTTCAGACCGGCTTAAGCCGATGCCACGCGTGTTGACACCCTAAATTTAAATCCTCGAAGACTCCACATGTTAACTCACACAAATCGACTTGTCATAGGGAAAATATAAACGAAAATTAATAATTACCTATCTAGGTTCAAACTAGATAACTCCCTGTAAGTATTATGAATGCTAGAGTAACTAACTGAACTCATGATAGCACTACTCTTAAGTCCCTGGCTTTCTAGAGCGGAATCTATAAAACTGTTTCCATGTGATTGGGATATGGTTTAAACTCCATACACATGATGCGTATTCAAGTCTGCGTCGAGCCGTATGTGCCTGGAGGTGGTCTGTAGTCTTCGGGCAACGCCATCACTTGTTTCTTCGTGAACGCGTATTTGCGGATGCCGATGTTCTTGTGTGTGTTTTCTCTGCGACATCCCTCACTGTAATTTTTTTTTGTCAAAGTCAACTTTATGCAGCGTAAATAGAGATCACAATTGGCTGATAATACATGACGAAACTTGCTCAACGGCTAAAGTTTGAAATAATTGTAACTTTTTCATAAAAAACAAGCGACGTCAAAAATTCGTGAAATTACATGTTTGCCAAGTTTTTGAAATCGGTTAGTATGCAAAACCTGATTCATTCCCTAGTTTTCCACCCTTAGAGGTGGAATATTTTACTTTAAATTTAAATGGGAGCAACACTGAGGTACCTTCTTTCCAACAAAAAAAAAAGAAACATCGGAATCATTTCACACACGCCGGAGTAATTTATTTATTTATTCGTGGAAAGCCATCAGCTTAACAACAAATTAAAAAAAAACATTATCAAATACATTACAGCCAATGAAAGGTTTATAGTAACATAATGACTAAATAACAGCACTTCGAAAGTGGTCACAGCAAATAAAATTAATACACTTAACTCAAAATACAAAACATATAAATATATATAGAATATAATATATACGTACTTGGTACTTGGTGTAACGGGCTGGTGTATATGAAATGTAAATCATAATATTATGTCCCAATACCCACGCCACGAAATGATACTTACGCCCACTTACACTTACAAGTTTACACTTTAATGAGTTCGAATTAGAATTGAATATGTCAATATTAAGTCACTCTTGCGATACTCGCGCTCTATCGTACTTGCCCTACTGATTGAAATATTTTATCAATTGCAAACACTAGCTGCTTGCAAACGCGCAACACTTTGCGTAATAAATTCACTCTATCTTGACATTACCTGCGCATGATGGCGAGCGCCTTCCTCATCTCGTGCTCTGCTAGATGGTACTCGGCGGCGAGGATCGTGCACTGCTCCAAGGTAACCGACATGCCCGTGCGGTCCTTTGCACTCTTGCACGACGTGAAGCGGATGCCTGCATATTGAGAATTGTGGTTTGTGAAAACGGTAGAAATAAAAAGCTTAGATCTTAAAATGTTGCTATCGTTAACCATTATGCAAAAATATATAATACCATGAATGACGGGAAATGCCTTCCCTATTTCTAACGTAAGGGTGCTGGTGAAATTACAGGCACATAGGGACTTATGTCTCAGGGTGATGAACACAGTGGCAGTGCCCCTAAGATCTTTGTGTTTTAAAGCATTGCCTGTTATGGACAGGCATGTCACTTATCACCAGATGCGCGACATGTTCGTCCCATCGCTTGGTTTCATAAAAAAAACTTGAGAATTGCCCAGCATTTTAACAACACAACGCACCACGTCAGTCGCCATCGGGAGCTTGTCAACGTTGGATCTGTGTCAAATTTTCTCCGCCTGTTCTTCGGCACGAGACGCGCCCCCATCTCACCTTCTAAAAGTAGGCTCGCACCCAAATACCTCGCCTCAAGTGTTTGCTTACCATTCATGAGTCTGGTAGCGAGAGCGGCCAAGTGCAACACTTCGATGTTCTTAGGTACTTTTTTGTGCACCACAATACGAAGATTTTCCATCACCTCATCCAAAGGCTTCGTTCTCGACGACGCTGAAACAAATGGTACCATATCATTTCATTTTCTTTCCAGCAGTCAAGCCAGTTACGTACCAACTGACTGTCGATTTTGAAAGTCAAGATAACTTTAGAAGGCCTTCCACTAAATAATAACGGAGTACTAAAAAAAGACCGGGTTGCGGTTGGTACTATACAAAATATCTTTATACTATTAAACATGTGTGTCTATACTTATGTAAAGAATCTGTATTTTAATTTAATCGAGTTTCTGTTCTGTGTGTGATTTTGTCTTGTTATTATTTATTTGCATCTTAAGTGCGAGCGTTTTTGACACAGAACAATAAATACAATAAAGACATGGCACATTTAAAAAAAATAAAATGTAAGTGCGCATTTTACATCTCACCAGATAGATAGTGACTATGAAGTCGACGATGGAGCATGCACGCTTAAATGCCAATTCAATCTCGCCTTGAAAAGGCCGAGTTATAACGTTCAGGTAACAAGTCTGCAGGCAGGGAATTCCACACCAATAGCCGTTCGCCAAGTAAATGTGGAAGTGGTTTCGTGCGAATCTTTGGAATATCCATAACATAGGGGTGGAAAGCAAGCCTACGTCTAGTCCTTCAGTAATGGAAAGTTCCGTTGTTTTTTTTTCATGGTTTTTTATTATAATTAAAATGTTTTTGTTTTTTTCGATTTTTTGTTTCTTTCATTCTCATGTAGTGTCATTTGTGGTAGTCAAATTAATATATTTTCGTTATTCTAGGTTTAAGTGCGCACATGTATTAATGAGACGTGTCAGGAGCGTAGCGGTTCATGGTCTCTGCCTACCGAAGTTGCAGACAAGCGTCCAGTGGTGCAGTGTTACAAGAGGATCAGAACTCACCCCTCGCCGCAGTGAGGTCGTGGAATATCTTGGTGTACTTCTGGTAATACTTGTTGAGCCTATCGAGATTATCGCTATTGGAATGGTATTGCGGCGTGGTCTCGCCAAGTGCCTCCGCTAGGGTTGCTTTCTCGTTCACGCCCACGTTGAAGAGCACAGCAGTTATCGTGAAGGACAAGTGCTGGAAACAATATTTAGTCTTAACCTCGTACCTTGACGCTTGTAGAAGCACTGCAGTGACGCATCTAATTAACCGACTTCAATAATAGGAGGAGGGACTCAATTCGACTGTTTTTTTTTTTGTATGTATGTTACTCAAAAACTCAATCAATTTGGTTTTTTTTGTTGTTTACTTGTTTTGTTGGAAAGAGGGTATTCAGTAGTGGTCCCATATAAATTTGAAGAAAAGATCCCACCTCCAAGGGTGGCAAACTAGGGGATGAATCTGGTTTCGCACACTTTCCGGTAACCGATTTCAATAATCTTGGCAAATATATGCAATTCCACGAACTTTTGAGGTCGGTTTTATTATTACACTGTACTGAGACTATTTTCATACAATTATCTAAAGTCTGTCTTTTTTAAGATGGAGTAAAATTACAGTGCATTGTGCAATTAGTGTTGCCCGCTTGCAAGCAGCCAGTGATTGCAGTCGATAAATATTCTATCGACTATCGACTGAATGTTGGTCACGCTTATGAAATAAATAGCCGAACTTGTTTTACGTAAATTATGTTACATAAATTAAGTACTTACATGTTGGAACTTTCAAACATATACACTGCATTTAGAACTATGTCTATTAAAAATACAAACAAGAGACATATTTTACAGTTTTTCATTTTAATTCAATAATATAGATTATCAAATCCACCTGCTTTTATTAAAATGTATACGAATGAAAAATTATTTTGATACTAGAGGAGTAATTGTCAGAATAAGAACAAAGAAGGCAATAACGCATTAGAACGTCGTAGCATTCACAATTCAGACATTATTAGCAAAATTTTAGCTTCTCACACTTTACCGATAAAACTGTCGACAACAACTACATGACTAGTTAAAATTTTATGAAACTGGCAACCCAGCAAATGTCGTTTTAAATGTCGTTTCGAAAAGACACAAAAGAAACAGAATATAAAGGTTACCTCTTTGGAAGTGAACTTGTTGTAAAGTGAGTCCGAGATAGGTATCTGCACTGTGAGCGCGCCCCGCGTCCCCGTCACCTGCGGCATGGCCATATTACTGAAAAATTAAATTATTCAATGAAAATCTTGTTTTGTCTCTTCAACTTTACACTTCAATAAAAACATCAGTAAAGACCAATTAAAAAAGCAATTGACTTTACTAGAATATGATCAACTACTAGCATACACACATCAAAAAAAGTTTGCGATCACTTCGAAAAACTGAAATCTTTTTTGTTACTGTAGATTATATTATGATTTTTTCTTCTTTTTAGATTCTTTATTTAAAAATAAATTAGAACATAAAACAATGACCCCGTTCAATTGTTTTTTCATATAAAAAGGCTTTCAGTCCTAGCTTACGCTCATTCAGAAATCTGATTTAGTCAATTATAAGCGATTCAAGATATTTTTCGCGGAAAGTTGTGATTGAAAAAATGCCAAGAGGATTATCAGAGGTTTTACGAGCTAGAATATTAACTTTGAGGGAAGAAGGATACACCACGAGAGTAATAGCACGCAGACTTGCTATATCCCAATCCTGGGTCGTGGCTACGTTGCAGAGGTATCACGGAATGGGGAATTTAGCTGACCGACCCCGCAGCGGTCGCCCAACTGTTTTGACAGCTGCCCAAAAGCGCTATATTAGATTGCTGGCAGCCCGTGATCCAACAATCAACGCCACTAAAATAAAAGCAGAAGTCAGGGCCGCCTCTGGGCTTGAAGTTAGCTCGCAGACCGTTCGCAATTGCTTGCACCAGGCTGGATTACGAGCACGGAGGTCTTGGCGAGCTCCGCTCAATTCCCGGCAACGTCAACAACGAAGATTGCAGTGGGCTAGACTTCTGCAAAATGAAGAAGGTGAGGACGAAAACATTTGGCAAAACTGTCTCTTCGTTGACGAATCCCGAATCAGCACTCATCCAGATAACCGACGTGTCCGTGTCTGGAGAAGACCAGGCGACCGTGAAAGACAAAGAACTGCCACTGGAACAGTTCAGCAAGGCGGAAAATCGGTGTCCTTTTGGGGTGGCATTATGATTGGAGCTAGAACGCCTTTGATCCCGTATCGGGGCTTCATGACAGCAGACATGTACAAAGCAGTTGCTATTGATGATATCGTCTGACCATTCCGAGTAAACTATGGGCACCAATTTGTAATGGTCGATGATAATGCGCCCGCACATCGAGCTCAACGAGTCAATGCTGCTCTTCAAGAATACGATATCACACGATTAGACTGGCCTGCCGGCTCGCCCGACTTAAACCCAATAGAGCACGCGTGGGATGCTCTTAAACGAGCAGTATGGAACCGTGAGCCACGTCCCCAGACAGTTCCAGAGCTCAGGGAAGCCGCTATTGAAGAATGGGATAGGTTACCCCAGGAAATGCTGGATAACTTGATCCTCAGCATGCCCAGGAGGATCTTCGCATGTATTCGAGCCAGGGGAGGAGTTATTTTATATTGAATTCACACCTTTTAATAATAAATTGTTGTTTAAGTTTAATTAAACAGTCTTTTTCTTTCTATGAAATTTCTATCACTATTACATTATGATTAATGGCTCAATTTTTTAAAATAAATAATAAAAAATAGTTTTATATTTTAATTTCAAACAGGGTATTCCTATTTAAAGAAAGCATACAACATAGATTTTTTCTTGATAAAGTTAAATTTAAAGAATTATAGGAGCTTATGCTATTGATCGCAAACTTTTTTTGATGTGTGTATGATAGAATATGATATTACTACTATTACTAGAATAATTTTTTTCTAACTGTTTGTTCACATTGATCTTGTTTTTTGTTTGTTCTCTATACGCCATTCCTGGTCTCCCTCTCTTTCTTTTCCCTCCTATCCTGCCCTCAATTATCACTCTCACAAATTCGTCATTACTTAACAAATGCCGAAACATTTTGCCTCTTCTCCTCTCTAACGCATTCAAAAAACTTCTCTCCTCCACAGCCCTTTCCAAAACTTCCTGATGTATTTTTTTATTATTATCATCCATTATAATCCAAAAAATCAATTCGTTAAGTGACACGCCTGTCCATAACAGTTGCAGTACCACTCAGTGCTTTAGATCAGAAAGATCTCAGCGACACTGCCACTGCGCCCGTCAACCTGAGACATATGTTGACATGTCCCATGTGCCTGTAATTTCACCATCACCCTTACTTACCCTTCATAATCGGAAAGCAGTAATAATCATATCAATGCTTGGCAGCGGAAATAGGTAGCAGAAAGTAGAGATTATTTGACTTGGTTTCGCCACCAACTGCAACCACTGCCACCTTACTTAGGGTCGTATTCTAGAACTCTACTCAATGCTCAAGTCAGGATTTGAGTATGGTTTAAAGCACTCGAAATCATACTCAAGTCCCTGCCATTAGGGTCGTATTTCCAGTGCTTGTGTTGCCAGGGCAATCCTGACTTGAGCATTGAATAGAGTTTTAGAATACGACCCTTAGTACCAGTAGAGCTCCTTGTGAAAGAGTTCGCCCAGGGAAGTACTGCCACCTTACCTATTTCTGTCGCCAAGCAGTAATCTCACCATTACTGTGTTCCGGTTTTAAAGGGTGCTGGAGAAATGACAGGAACATGAGACTTATTAACCTATGTCTCAGGGCGACGGGTGGTGGGTGGCGGTGCCCCACAGATCTGTGTTTTAAAGCTCTGAGTGGCACTCACACACAGGCCATCCGTCCATTTTGCCGCAGGGTATCCTACTACTAAGACTTCGGGATACGCACTTAGGAACCTTTAACATAATAATAGAGTACCTGTGCCCGACTTTAGTAAGGGTGAAGACAACAGTCTGCAGGTCTTCAACAGCAACCACCATGTCACCCCACATCGCCTTTTCGGTTGCGTACAAACTTAGCAGACCCTCGAATGCGCACAGTGGGGACAGACCCGACGAGAGCAGCTTCACAATTACTTCTCCCGACGCAGAGCTCAGCCAGCATAGAAGACCCGCTGTTACCGTCGTTAGCTGTGAAATACTTCAACTTATAATGGGGCCAACTTAACTTGGTGATTTTTGTCAGATTTAGAGTTGTGACACGTCCGCTTTAACTAGTATTACTAGTATGGTGCCAATTATCAATTTCGCAAAAAAAAACGTAAGTAATTAATTGGTTATTTATTTGGTAAAAAAAAAACATTTGATTATTATGCATTTATTCATGTTTTCAACGCATACATTTTCGTTACTAGCTACACTTTTGTTAATTTCAATGAAATTTCTGCAAGTATCGTGTAGAACTAGAAGATGTTCAATTTTAATTTTTTATATACATAATTTCACTAATAAAATAATAATATGACTGTTAATATAGTCTATTTCACATAGAATGAGTCCTGTGACATTTCCAATTGTTACGCAACTTTTTCCAAGTTCTACGCATAATATTTCGTACTGCCTCTGTGGCGGAATGGTTGCCATGTCGTACTGCCACGCAGAGGTCCCAGGTTCGAGTCCCGGGCCGGGAGCAATATTTGTATGGCCTACATTTATTTCTCTCGTGAGTTTGGGTATAATTTCTGGTTGTCTATGTGTGTGTCCGTGGCACACGCGACATAGGGTTTCCCTAGTGCGGGGCAATGTTGAGTGCGTTATTTTATTTTATTTTTACTAATCTCTCAACCAAGTTACAAACAAACAACTTGTCATAATGTACCAAAAACAAACAATTTGTTGCAGTTGTACTTTTAAATAAAAATTATAGTATGTTAAATAGAAAGAAAATTAACTGATAAAGATAAAAATAAATCATCCAATTACTTGATGCTTGATACGGAATATTTCATTAATAGAGATTTACACCATAAAATCGATAAATCGAATCGGCTATTGTGTATCTCGCGACCATTACCAGTGCATACACCTTGTATGCGGCAAGTACATTATATATTGGAATGCTTTGCGTGATGTTTTTAGAGAAATAGTTCATATTTCGTTTCGTTGCAGTAGGTTTTACGATTTAATGTTGACTTTTTTATTGTTGTCGTTGTTTTTTTTTATTTGTTGCGTAGTTTTTTTTTTGTTATAATAATTTAATCCTTTTTATTTTGTTTATTATTTGTTCTTAAATTATTTTCTGTAAATCGATTCTCTCTTCGTTACAAATTATCTTGACAAGATATTTAAAGCGATTTTTTTTTCATTCGATTTTACATCACTACATTTCTAGACACGCCATATCTCTATGTGAAGTGAACTTTAGCTCTGTCAACTGTTATTTGAAACATCACTAAGTTAAAAAAAAAACCGTACAATAAAGGTATATTATGTATCATAAATACGAATCATCACATCACAACAGATTGCAATTTAAATGCAAAAATTAAATTAAATTCATGTAAATAATATTCACGTTATTTAATCGAAATAAATACGGTGTTCGTGTGTTCGTAGAGGAAAAAAATAGATACTAGTCTGTTTATTTTTTTGACAATTACTAGTATGTTACGTTTTATCCCAGTTCCTATTCGTCAATGAATATCATAGGCATGAATTAAATAATAAATAAAAATCAGACAACATACGTTGCTCTGATCCCAATGTAAGTAACTAAAGCATTTGTGTTATGGAAATCGGATACAACGACTCACGGCGTCCCACAAACACCAAGACGTAGAAAATTTATTATGATATAGAAAAGTTAGTTTTTGCTAGTTAGTGATCGAATCCGGGACCTCAAAGACGGCGACACCATGAAAACCGGTGTGCAAGCCATTCGACCACGGAGGCCGTAAATGCAAGTGTTAAAAAAAACAATAGCTAACCGCTTGAGAGAAGCAAGTGTCCCGACGCGTCTGAAGCGCGGCATGATCACGTGTCCACTGCGGCGGTTCGCAGCGCACGCGCAGTGCTGCATGCGCCAGTCGCAGCCAGCGCACGGCACCCTCAGTAGCCATCTTCACCTCCTCGATGCGTCCTTTCAACTCCTCTAAGTTGTCATTCGCGTCTGATTCTTGAAGGGAAAAATGTTGCATCAGAATGACGCCTAACAATATAGAAAAATCCTGACTACTAACATAAATAAAAGCAAAATATAAAAAAATTCATGACCTTTTTCAGTTTCGAACTTCAGACATTCAGTATTCATACTTTGGACAAAGAGGACACTAGACCATACTTTTGTATGTGTGTGTAACTAAGTTTCGAGCGGAAAATAGATATTTTTATCTAATTGAAAGATTGTATGTGAAAAGTTATATGAATTTAAAATGTGTTTTGAATTCCTCCAATCGTGTATGCAATAAAAGTATAACTCTTGGCTGTTAATTTTGCGAATATCGTAATAAACTATTATTTCGCCTAACCAACGCCATCTATTGGCTATTAGATTACATAACATCGTGACGATCCCCCTTAACGCTAACGCCCTTACATTTTTGTCTGTTACATATAAAAATTCAAACTGACACATAAGTAACTACGCAAGTCGACTTATAGGAATCACGCCCCTTCCGGTTAGAATAATACAGTGCATAGGATGACTCTTTTATGTCACTGTATATTAAGCGATGATTCTACCCATGCGAATAACTTTTACACGACGTATACCCTCGAAAATTAATTCAAGTATCCCGTACACCACAAACATATCCCACTGCTATTACAATATTGTTGTAACTCAAAATACATGAAATTCTAGATTATACCATTTCTGAATGTAAAATTTGATTCTCTACACGTCAATAAAACCGTCGTTAGAATATTGTAAGACAAACCTTATGTAAGCTACTTCTGAACAAAACAGTCCTTATTCATTACTCAGTTCCCTTTAATTTTCAATATATTTGGCAAGTAGGAAATTGTCTAGATTTCAGTAATAAACTTTAATCTTTAATCTTTCACGGGAAGTGAATAATTCGTTTTTCAATGATTCTGAAAAAATACACTTTTTGAGTTAATACACTATTGTATAAACAATGCGATATAAACCAACGGACCTCACGAATTTTTCTATGTGCTTGCGTCATGTCTTTGTACTTGGTCTTTCAACGACTTTTAGTCGTAACGCCATCTATGAGAAATCTATGACAGATTTATCACCCAGTTAGTACCTTTACAGCTACCAGTCCTGGCGAGAGATGTCGCTATTCACTGTATTAATTAAATTTTTATTAAATTGATATTCAATTATTTTTTGTGAAATTACTCCACTAGTTTGTTATAATTATTAATACAAAGATCGAACACTCAGAAAAAACACTCAGAAAAAATTCCTTCGATCCGGTCGGATTCGAACCGACGTCTTCTTGCATACCGTGGCAGAAGCTATACCAACTAAGCCACAGAACGAACCAACGGACACCAGCCCGTTACACCAAGTACCAAGTAATAATTATAACAAACTAGTGGAGTAATTTCACAAAAAATAATTGAATATCAATTCAATAAAAATTTAATTAATGCGATATATCTAAATACACGCCGCAAATGCACCTATTTCGCGTGCCCAATGTAAGCTATAAACGCTTAGTTGCCGCTACTACGCCTCAAAACGCGCACGTTAATTAAACATCAGTCGAAACCTCTTCAAGCCTCTCTAGCAGAGGCCGTGGGTTCGGATCCGGGCTAGTGCCTCTGAGTTTCTCGGAATTTATGTGTGAAAGTTAATTTGTAACTTACCATGAGGTTTTTGGTGAAGAAAAACATCGTAATGAAACGTGAAGAAGGTTCACAATCCTCGGAAAACGTGTGAGGTCCCCAACTCGCATTGGGCCAGAATGGCAAACAATATACCAAGCAGTGGGACATATAAATGCGTTGATGGTGTATGTAAGCATATGTGGAAAAGTACCTGTGTCGTCTATGGCCCTCGTGGCCGCATCGACCATGACAGCCATAGCGTTGTCAATGCTGCCGCCGACGGCCCTTAGGTACTGTAGATTGTGTTCTCGAGTCGCGGAATCCACCTGCCCGATCCCCGGCAGCGTCAGTGACTCTCGCAGTGCTTCAGTGGCCTAGAAGAAATTTCAATTTTCAAATAATAATTCTTTATTTCTGCCGTCCAATAACTAAAAACGCGGCTAAGTGACAAATGGTCAAACAACCGTATTAAATAGCAAAAAATAGAACACAAAATTATCTTTTAAAAATTAGTTAACGAGTTCGACTTATCGGAACTTACCATAACGATGCATAGCTGAAATATCATTAAACAATCTCAAAAAAATATTTTTCACCTCACTAGCTCGGAAAGGCTTTCTTTCTCATTAGTAATCTGCGCGCAAAAGCGTTTTTTGCACGCTAGGTTTTTGGAATTGTAACTTGACGATGGACTATGGTGCACCGAACTTTTTCTTTCGATGCAAAAAATGACAATGGCGCGTTCAATTAAGCTATTTGTCGTACATTATTTATGTAACATAAATCCGTTGGTATTTTTTATTCTTATTATTGTTGACATTAAATTGACAATAATAACCATTGACTTACAAATAAATGGACGACGGGTCTAATACAAAAACCCCGAAAAAATGTCCCAAGTCAACCTATTTAAAGGTAGTGACATGTAAAGGAATATGAAAAAGCTAAAACGTTGAATTTTAATTGTAATGTCATCGCAGTACTGTCTAATTTTGTTTGCTTTGCTGTCAGTCGGACAAACGAAGACTAAAGCGTGAATGACGCTCTGTATTTTGTAGTTTGATTTTAACGCCCTATAAGTTCGGACACTTTTTAGCGCGGACCCGACGTCCATAAAACTGTAAGTCAATGATAATAACTGTGTTTATTAAGTATTTTTTTTCAATAATCACTTAATCACACAAAATAAAAGTACAAGCAAGAATAAAAATTGATGAAAAAAGGTTTTATAGTTCAACTGTTTTTCTTTCATCTACCATTTCCCTCGCTATAGTGAGGTGAAAAGTTGTGTGTGTCGCTCGGCAGCAAAGTTGTTTTGTGTCTCGTGGCTTGAAACCTTCGCTGCGCTCAGGAATCTATATCGGCTTCGCTCCTGGTTCAATCTTGGCTTCCTTCGCTTGCTCAGGTTTCAATGACGCACTCGCGGCAAACAACAACTTTGCAGCCTTGCATAGCAAATAACTATTGTCACTTGGTCGCGTTTTAGATAGTGGACGTCAGATTTATTTCATTACCATGATATGCACATTTTTTTGTGACAATACTCCACTACAGGCCTACCGTTTAACTGAGTCGGTTCCTGAGGAGTCACAGTTTACGTAACAGTTGTGTCTTACCGTTTCATATAACAACAATTGACTAATTTAGTAGGCATTTTTTGATACCGTGTATCAAAAAGCATTTTTGATACCCTGTATTTTTCTAACTCATCAGCGTGGGTTTAAAAAATTTGATTCGTAAGGGCCTACGCACACGGCGTAATTTGTACGCGCCGACGACGCAAGTTTCATGAAAGCGCATTTACGACGCCGTAAACGCGCGTCCTCGGCGCGTATAAGCGCCGCAAATATCGCGTTGCAAGCAAGTAGCTTATATACTCCACTGGAGTTTACACTTAGAACGTTGTGCAGTTGCTTCATTTCAAAAATGAACTGAAATTATAAACAAAACTAAAATTAGAACTATCTCTAATCAATTTGCACGATACATACGAGCGACTACAGCACGTCTGCGGTGCGTATATGCGCAGATAACACGCGTTTATGATATCTAAACGCGCGTTGACGGCGCGTAAAAATTACGCCGTGTGCAGGGGCTCTTAGTGTTGCGAAAAGCCGAGGAGTCGTATAGCCTAATATAGTATCGTATTGTCATAATTTTAACCAATAGGAAGCTCGATGTCTTGTTCGCAAAAAAAATCCAAAATTTAACTTTGGTTTGTGCCACAATTTGTGAAAACCAGCGGTTTATATGACATACCTTTTTCTTGTCATTTCCCAATCCTTCCATCAAACACCGGTAAGACACTTGCTCCAACGACGCGGAGCTCTTGAAGTCGTGTCTCAAACTCCCGCTCCGCATTTTATGCGATTCAAAGGAGAAACTCTGTTCGTTGAACTTCGCTGATCGCACAGACCTGAACGAATGGTTCAAACTGCCCCTTTCCTCTCTATCACACTTGAAATAATCGTTATGAAACTTCAGCTCTGTCCCCTCATCGATCTTCTGATGGCTTTTACAATTATTTGGGCAAATGTTTGGCACACTTGACGATAGTGTTGGAAAATCCACTGTTGGCGACGTATCTTTTGAACTCGAGCTCGATGAAACTTCAAAGTCACAATCTGCATTGTCGAACATGTTAAGCTGTTCGGTCATTTTCAAAATAGTTGACATAGTGTGGTTTTCTGATTGGTTGTTTGTTTTATTCGGCCAGCCTATAAACGAGAGGGATTCCTCGATAGTATGCGGGTCCCAGAGCTTTAGCATGCTTTTAACTTTACTCTTTATTCCTGCAAAATGAATTAAACATTCTTAATGACAACACTGCACCTCAATATATTCCGTCCAATCATGTATTTAACTTTTGACATATGCATGCCTCCGAAGTTCCGTAATTATTGACATACAGACATAGGCAAAAAAAATGCAATACTTCCTGGAATCTTTTATTATTCATTTTAGTGAAACGACGTGCTCTATATTTAGCGAGCCAACATATTATGTAAGAAAAATTATTGAAGTTAATTTATTTTTGTACCTGTCTAATCAATTATAATAAAATGAAATAAGTTATAATAAATTTTTATTGTTTATTATAATGAATTGTCAGAGTTTCTCCATATGAACGGGAATCACGAATTGAATCTTCATTAACATAAATTATAAATTCTTGAGTATACAAATTGTCAAACGCATCATCACGATACCAATCACACAATATCTTCTTTTTTTTAACTCGCTCACATTCACGATTTAATCATCTTCTAAATAAAATCGATAGTTATAAAAAAATCGAATCGGCAACGCATTAGGACATCACTAATTGATTAGAATTCGAGCTGTCAAAAGTTAAATAAATAGTTGGACGGAGTATAACTATTTATATCCTCCTAAAACCTAGCAAATTATAATGGGACAATTGCTGAACGCCCAATATACAAACGCCAGCATATCAAGCTACAATTTTTCTATTCCTGCACTTTAATTTTATAAACCATATCACGAAGGTGCTCTTTTTAGTTCTGAAGCAAAATTCCATTGTCTATGGTAATAATAATAATAACGCACACACTAAACATAGCCCTGCATTAGGGAAACCCTGTGTGAGTGCGATGGACAGACACATACACAACCACAAATAACACCCAAACTCACGAGTGAAATAAATGTAAGCCATACAAATATTTCTTCCGGCCCGGGAATCGAACCTGGAACCTCTGCGTGGCAGTCCGGTATGGTAACCGTTCGGCCACGGAGGCAGAAGGTACTCGCTACTAAACTGAAAATATCCATTACAGTACAGAACAGAGAGTTATAAGGTCATATTTAGATTAAAATATGAAATATATTATGACGCTACTCAAACGCAGTACTGCCTCCTGATTGGTTAAAACGTAAGCGGTATTTGGCCAATCACGGACACTTCAATTCTATCTCTTTGGTTTTATATTTCCAACTCACCATCCAGCACAACGTTGACTTGATCACGTTGTCGAGCCTGTATTAAGACGACCGCTCGCTCCATGTCGTGGACGAATTCGTCGCGCAACCGCTTCGCCGCCGTCACGGTGTCGTATTCCGCCTGGATCTTACTCGCCACCGAATGGAGGTTCGCTTTACTGCTGTTTATGTCTTTCACTTGTTGGACTAGTCTGGAATATGGGCACAAGCCTTATTATCGTAATTGCATATTTACATAAAATACATAAGCACCGTAGTGTAATAGGAAGACATCGTGATGAACAACGAGGGCCCAAACCCTCGCCCGAGAGGAGACCCGTGTCCGGCAGTGAGACGTATAAATGGGTTGATGATAGTGTAATATGTAGCTGACTACATATTCTACAATCGTGTACAGACAGACTAAAATGAAATGGCTCTAATTTTGAAACGTACCTTATAAGTCCTCCGGTCCTTTCGGCTTTATGCGTATGCGCGGCGAAGGCGCCGGCAGTGACGATGTCGTGGAAACCGGTCTTGTTGAGCGTGTCGTTGTATACCCACATCCTCTGCAAGTGTAGGTTAATGGGTGCGAACTCCAGGCTAGCTTCATCTGCAAACCGTCAATGAATGGTTATAGTATTAAACGTCACGAAAGGCGGATATGGAACAGCAATACGTAATAAATTAAACCGTTTTGTATGGTAGACCTCGTGGTCTACCATACAAAACGGTTGGGAACCTACTCGTGTAGACCCCCTGTCTTTTTAATATTAATTTATTTACAAATTTGTCAACATTAAATCAGTGGTAGTGAAAAACTTTATCAACTTTAAGTCAATGTTAGAAAAAATCAAATTGATGTTAAGATTTAAACATTTACCTAGTTTTTATGTCTGCAAGCCGAAATTTTGGCCACGACCGGCCTAAATAGCTTTCACTCTCGTGAACGCCCATTAACAAGTCATGGACGCCCTATATTTTTTTTCGCTGACGTGGATCCCTTGTAGGTTGGATTGGGGCCCTGCGTGTCGAATAGACACATTGGGAATCGTCGCCACAGACGAATTCCAAAAGATAATTGAAAGAATATACAATACTAACCCTTTTTGCTACTGGCCTTAAAATAGGGCGTGTCTACATGTTGCATACAGCGTTTTGAATGGCAGTAGTGCTTGAGCAGCGAAACGTGCGTGCTCACTAACTCCAGCTGTCTATTATGCCATTGCCCACACATCTCGCCCACTGACAATAGCTCTTCTAGTAATTCTTTCTCCCTTTCAATGTAGATATCTCTGTAAATACATGAAACAATTATTATCGCAAGCAAAAAAACATTTTAACAATATTATTAAGGGCGGCAAAACTGGTAAATTTAGCATTTAAAATTTTTACACTTCAATTTTTAGTTTGTGATTTTAATTTTTATATTTTTTATTTTAACTTTGATTTTTAAATTAATTTTTAATTTTGTTTTATTGTACAGTATTATCAAAACGAAATTATATTTCAACAAGCTAGCGCCCGCGAGTTCGTCTCCGAAGTACAGGCACTTCGAGTAGCCTACTGCCGTACTATACTAATTTTCATAGTTTTATTGGTTCTCCATACAAACTTTCATCCTCTATTTCACCCTATTTAAGATTTATTTTTGTGACAAAAAGTAGCCCTTCTTACAGGTCCCATCTACATCTGTACTAAAATTCATCAATATTGGTTCAGCGGTATAGACGTTAAAACTTAACAGACAGTTACTTCCGCATTTATAATATTAGTTTGGATTTGTTGTATTTTTAACCGACTTCGAAAATAGAGGATACATTTGTGAACCGATTTTGATGATTCTTTTTTGTTGCAAAGAAGGTACATCAGTATTGGTTTTAAATTTGCAGATTATATTCCACCTCTCCGAGTGGCAAACTAGGGAATGAATCCGGTTTCGCGCACTTTCCGTTAACCGACTGCAATAAACCTTGGCAAATATATCCAATAAAAAAACCGATAAGCATACTTTTGAAGTCAGTTTTTTTTTTAATAAAAAGAAATTACATTTTTTAGGCTGTGACATCTACATTATAGGCTTATTCGACACGTTTATTCCTAGTAGTAATTCCAAGTACTACAAATTCGTTTTCTTTCGTACGTCACTAGAAAGTAATGTAGTTTGTACAATCGTCAATCCTTTATAGTCCCACTGTTGGACAGATCTTCTGGAAGGAGAAAGTTTAGACTATAATCCGTAATCGACGGCTTTTCTAAAATCTTTTCAAGAACTTTGTTTTTATGTGCATGTTTTCTTTTACCGTTAGGTGTTGCTACTAAAACTAAAACAATAATTATGCTTGCGTAAGGGCGCGTTCTCATTATGTCGTAACGTTTTATTTATCGTTGGACGACTGTCGTGTCTAGCTATTTCATCTGGATCGTGACGACAACTTGTCGTTTGCACGACAGTATCGTTTGATACACAGCGTGGGTGCGGGGGACGAGAGGGGAGAGTGGAGAGAACATCGAGTATATAACCAGAAATAGAGACGAAATAAGACAATACATTCCTGGTAACTTATCAGTGCTACATCGTCACTTATAAATATCAACTCTCGTTTGCACTGAAATTTAGACAGCGCCAACGACTGACATGTGTTTAGGTCTCCGTATATTCCAAAAATATTCTGTATTTATTGTAATAAAGATAATATCTCTAACAATGGCGTGCTGTTCCATTCGGTGGAGTGGGAAAAACAGCAAAACATCTAATTACAAAACAAACGGAATCAAGTTTCATCGTTAATTAAATATTAGATATATAATTTTGCAATTTTCGTCCATTACAGCAAAGCTCAAGTTAACTGGTTGATTTGAAGTAAAACAATTGACGACACCTGTCAATTGTTTCGGATTCGGGCTAGCCAATCGGAGCGCAGTTGTCACAGTAATGATAAGGCAGAATACTTTTCAAACAAATTAAATGACATTTCGTCTCTATTTCTGGTTATATACTCTATGGGGGAGAAGAACACGTGCAGACAATGATAAATAAAACGTGACGACAATGTTAAATGCTATTATCAATCGTCACGTCTTATCATGACATTTTATTTATAGGATGACGAGTATCGTTTTAGCTCTTCCCATTGTCTTGACAGTCTGTCGTCGTAACGTCAAAAAAGTCGTATATGTGAACAACTTCATTTAAATATACAAGTCACGACACTTTAAATTGTATGACTATCTGTCGTCACGATATAATGGGAATGCGCCCTAAGTATGGCCTCACTTAGGAGCCAAAGACCCTTTTGTTACAGCTGCTGGCAACAAGCATATCTTTATACTCAGTGTCTTCATTTATGTTTATGTAAATAGTCTGACTTAATTTAAATTAGATTTTTTTTTATAACTGAATATAATGGTAGTAAAAGATCGTGACATTCAATAAACTTAAAAATTACAATTATAACGCGACATCTCTAGTCAGCGATGGTAGCTGTAAAGGTCCCTCTCTGAGTGAAGAAATAAATTTCTCACAGATGGCGCTACGGCAGAAAAAGTCGTTAAAAACAAAAAACAAAGATCTGCAACAAACACAGAAAAATTCGTAAAGGTCTGCCGCTTCGTTCCGTGGCTTAATTAGCATAGCATCAGGCACGAATTGCCTGAGGGTTCTGGTTCGAGTCCAGCCGGATCGAATGAATTTTACTTAGTGATTCGATCTTTGTTAGAATAATTAGATTCTGGTTTTGTTTGTAATTTCGTTTTGTAATTATTTGTTTGTGTATACGCGTTACGTGTTTTGATTCTTGTTTCTTTGTGTGGTATCATTTTTATGGTAGAATGCAATGAATGTCTTTTCTTTAAATAATAATAACGCACACACTAAACAAAGCACCGCACTAAGGAAGCTCTGTGTCGCGAGTGCCATGGACACACACATAGACAAAGACAAATTACACCCAAACTCACGAAAGAAATAAATGTAGGTCATACAAATATTTCTCTCAGTCCAGGTATCGAACCTGGGACCTCTACGTGGCAGTCCGGCGTGGTAACCGTACGGCCACGGATGCAGTTAAAAAAAATCATATTGTTAAAATGAAATACTCATACAGTTTATAAAAATCTACTCAATATAACCTTGTAACGAGGTGCATCAATATACGTATTTCATAAACTGTTTTTATAAGCGTCGCTTTTAAATGAATAAATAGCCTTTGTTTAAGTAAATACATTACAATACCGCACCTTGTATGTGGACCATGTTACTCTTGTCAGGAAGCTAGAATATTACGGAGTAAATGGCAAGGCGTTGGAACTTGTCTCGTCATATCTTAACAGTAGAATTCCGAAAGTAGACATAAATTGAGTGACTTCCTTGGGTTCTCCGGTAAAAATGGGTGTTCCGAAGGGCTATATTAATGTTCTACCATTCTTTGTTAAGGACCTTTGCGACATAATACTGTTTGCTGACGACACATTCTTGATTTTTAAAACAAACAGACATCAATTAAATTTTTATTGAATTGATATTCAATTATGTTTTGTGAAATTACTCCACTAGTTTGTTATAATTATTAATACAAAGATCGAACACTCGGAAAAAACACTCAGAAAAAATTCCTTCGATCCGGTCGGATTCGA